TGTTTTTCCCTTTCCCTTTCCATAGTTTATCACCAAAACTCAATCCCAAAATCTTTTGACTTGTTTTTTCATCACATTATTCAATTCTATATAATAATAAAAGCTTCTCTTTCCAATTATATCTAATAAAACTATATTATTCAATTCTATATGATAATGAAAGCTCTCTTTCAAATTATATCTAATAAAACTATATATCTTGTTAAGTTCCATTCTTGTTTTTCTTCTCAATTATGACTTTGGTAGATGAGCAATAATAATCTGAAAAATCATCAGTTTATTTGTCATCCACCTTCTTTATGTGTAAAACGAAAATGGCAGTTGATGCTGCACAACCCATTTCAACCCCAGCAAGAAGATCAACAACTCCGAAAATCACTTCTACACAACAGGCACAATCTTCAACATCTAAATCGGGTCCATCAAACAGCAGCAATCGGGTCAGTTACACCTCCAACTCCGGTTCCGGGTCAGGGTCCGAATACCGCCTTGACACCTCCGTCGCAACCACCTCCGTCTCCAGCCAGGCATCGCTCACTAGTTTCCGAGCATCGTTGCCGGATAATCCTCAAGTTTATGATTTCTCTGATATTCGTGCCGCCACCAACAACTTCCTTGCCAAGCGCTACTCATCCACCTCTTCATCCCAATCGTGGCGATGCACGCTCCATGGCAAAGATGTAATTATCTTCCAACGAAGAATCTACCAGAAATCTATGGAAAAAGCTGAATTGAGGGCGAAATTATCAGTTATTTGTAGAAGTCATTATAAAAGTATAATTAAACTCCTCGGTGCATCAATTTCTGGCGAGCATATTTACTTAGTGTACGATTTTGTACTGGGTTCTAACCTTTCTCTCTGCCTCCGGAACCCTAGAAATCCAAGCTATACGGTTCTCTCCACTTGGATGTCACGAATTCAAATCGCTACTGATGTTGCTCACGGTCTGGATTATATACACAACACTACCGGTTTAGAGATCGATCCAGTTCACAAATATGTAAAGAGCAGTGGAATCATCGTCACCGAGCCTTCCTTTAACGCAAAAATTTGCCATTTCGGAGCAGCGGAGCTTTGCAGTGGAAGCGAGAGCAAAGCCGTGACGAATGGCGGTGAGATCTACGAGGGTGCATCAGCAGTTTCAACGCCGGGGCGAAAGGGATCCGCGACTAAGACTCGCGAGTTTGAAGGCGTGAGAGGTTACATATCGCCGGAGTACCAACTGACAGGAGTAGCAACACAGAAGTCCGACGTGTACGCATTTGGAGTTGTGCTGTTGGAATTGTTCTCCGGCGAAGAACCTGTGAGGTTCAAGTACGACAAGGCAACCGGAAACTACAGTAAAATCTCCCTTATAGATACGGCGAGGGAAGTAGTTGACTGCGGCGGCGATGGGGAGGAAGACGGCGGCGTAGGAGTGGAGAGAGAGTTGAGGAATTGGGTGGACCGGAGGTTGAGTGACTCGTTCCCGGTCGAGGTGGCACAGAAGGTAATCCGGTTGGCATTGGATTGTTTACACGTGGAACCAGATGACAGGCCCGATATGCGCCGCGTGGCGGGTAAGATATCAAAGCTGTATTTAGAGTCCAAATTTTGGTCGGATCGGGTCAAAATGCCCACGGAAATAACCGTGTCATTAGCACCTCGATGAGACGATAATTTTTTTTTGATTATTTCGTGAAAATGTACTTTTCCAAAGAATATCTGACATAATTCCACTAATTAGTTTAAAGGAGAATATATTTGCTGTAAATTTTGTCATTTTTTAATTAAGACTGTGACGCAACTGCTAAATGCTAAAATAGAAAAAGTAGATTCCAGATAATGAGGGAAGACATTGAACAAATATTTTATAGTAATGTCTTTAATTGACCACAATATTGAATGTTAATAAATATATAGTTTTTAGTATTAATGGACAGGAATACATTCGTTATTGTTTGGTAAGATGTTGGAGTTATTAATGAGTTTTTTCGTTTTAATTTATTTATCTTTTTTTATGATAAATTTTGTTTCCAATTTATTAGTGATCTGACTTCCTCAGATACATCACTAAACTTTTTGTTTGTTTTTTTTATTTCCAAATACATTAATTAGTTATGCTCTCGATCAATTATGATTCTGTATGGATGAAGGCGACTTTGATTTGGTGAAATGTATAATCACTTCTTTTTTTAATTATTATTTTTATTATTACTCATATAATAATAATATCGGGAGAGAGAAGGAGGGAGAAAGGGGCCGAATAAGGATAAGGAAAAATTACATGTAATAATACATTTTTAAAAAATAATTACTGATTTTAGCGATATTTTTTGTTTATTATCATTTATAGCAATACAGTGAATAAATTTGTAATATGTATTAAAAGTGAATTATGTGTGCAATATATTTGAATTTTAATTGTTTTTGAAATATCTTATGTTTGTTTGGTAAAAAATTGTCATATTGTATTATAAGTGTATTAAAATGTGTGACCAATGCATTATCTATCATTAAAACTTGTATTACATGTGAATAATAAATTGTTCATTAATATGTATTAGACTTGTATTATAAATTAATTAAAAATGATCAAGTGAAAAAAAATTATTGCTATAAATGGTAAATATTTTTTTATTATAGTATATTTACGTAAGTTTCCCATAATTATATTCTGTCCCGACAAATTTAGTATGTACTAATAATCCCTTAAAATTGTTGTGGCGTGGTACATTAGTATGTTGTGATACATGGTAAATGATACACAGTAACTTAAAACTGTTAAGATTAAAAGGGGGGGGGGGGGACGGAACATTTAAATTTGTTATCTAAATCAGATTAAATTACGGTAACAGTTCATTAATAAGCATTAATTTGCACGTAATTGGATAACAATTTCAAATTTTAAAAATTCAAGATTATATCATCTAGTTTGAAGACATTTTTATGAACATCCAGTTATTAAACTTATTGACTAATACATGATAACAATTTTCAAAAACTCGTGATACATAGAAAATCATATGATACACATCAAATTCATGTATCAATGCATCGTCTAAACACTATATCACACTGAGTCGATATGTATCAGCAAGCACACTTGATGGCGCAGTTATTAAACTTATTGACTGATACATGATAACAATTTTCAAAAACCTTGATACATAGGAATCATATGATACACATCTAATTCATGTATCAATGCATCGACTAACACGCTATAACACACTGAATACTTATGTATTAAACTTATTGTCTGATACATGATAACAATTTTCAAAAATTCATGATACATATGGGATTCCTTTACTAAAATTTTTACTAATTTCAACAATAATGGTTGCTGCTTCTTTTCTTTTTTTTGGTGTATTTTGTCAACCTTTGATTTAGATGATTCGCCAAAATCTTTGTTTGAATCCTTCCGAACATTCATAGGATCATGCAAAGACTTTTTTCTATTTTCTTTTCAATTTTCATCGTTTGAATCATAAATCCTTCTATTAGTAAAAGGATCCATTAATATGATGTAACAGAACAATGAACAAAAAAAAAGAACGGATGATGGAGTAAGAAGAAAAAGAAGACCGAGAGACGGCTGATGTAATATAGCAATGAACAAGAAGAAAAAAAGAAGAAAATAAGAACAGATAATGGATTAAGAAGAAGAACTATAGACGGATGATGGAGTAAGAAGAAGAATAAGAAGAACGAGAGAACAATGGTCCAATTTTTAGAAATTTCAATTTTTTTAAATTTTGAAATTCAAAATTTCATATTAAATGTTGTGAAACATTTTTAATTAAAATTAATAATTCAAAATTCAAAAAGTGATTCAGAAAATTGAGTGTTTTAGTGGAGAAAAAATAGGCATGATATCGGGGAAGTGTGTGTTATAGGAGAGAGAAGGTTATGTATCTCTAAACTTCTACTAAAATTTTAAAAAAAAGAATTATGTAATATTTTAAAAAAAGAAGGGAAAATTAGAGAATACTAAACTTATAGTTGTGTATTCAAGTTATTTTTTCTATAATTATTGTATTACACTATGAAATTCCTTAAATTTATACTAAATGTATCTTAGTCTCTTTTTGGGCTTGTTTTTATGAATGGGCCTACCATTATTGGCTAAGCAGCCCAACATCGGATTAATTATAGGTATGTGTGAATTTCAGTTGATAAATAGGGACTTGCGAAAGTGAAATAGATTTATATGAATTGTGATTATACTTAATAGACTGTGCTTCTCATCTTTAATTCTCTCTTAGTCTCCTCATCTCCTTTATCGCTATTGTTATTATTCGTGTTCTTCATATTGTAATAGCTCTTTGATATATAAATCAAAGTTTATTAATTTGTTCTTTCTGTTGTTTATTGTTGAGTTGAGAAAATCACAGCATTAATTTAAGTGTTTGTTACACTTGTCCATCATCTAAAATAGTGATCCAAGTGTTAATATTTAACAAATTTGATCTTTTACCAAGGACGTCCATTATATCATATAGTTGACACACATAAAATCTTGAATGATTGATAATCTTTATGTTTCATAATAAGTGATATTTCATGTAAAACTTCTTTTGTTTAAACAAAAGAAAACTCAATATACATTTTACTTATTGAAATACCACTTATTTTCAATTGAAAATGAAAAAGTAAAGTTCATTTTATTATGAAAATGCGATGCGGGGTTTGGTAATATTGCATGTCCATTTAAATTGCCTTAATGGAAATATGTGATGTAGTATGAATTCATAGATGTGACGGAATGTTTCTTCTAACTTGAATAAATTCTGCTTAGATGAAAAAAAAAATAAAAGTCTCCTTACAATTTTATATTTTGTATATGTTTTTTAACTTTTTAAATCCATTGTGTACACGCTTAATCAAGTTAACTAGTTTCGTCTTAATAACTTAGACTTAATTTTGGAATTATAAATGCTAAGAGAAGTTGTAGGGTAGAAAATGATAGTGTTCACCTAATTAGTATACTCAATCAATAAGATGAAAAAATAGAAAAAAAAAACCTTCAACGTGAACTCCAATAACATAACTTCAATTACAATACCCAAAGCAATATCATATTTGTATATACACACACATTTACAACCATGAATATTTACATAAGGTCAAATTACATGGAGATGAACTCTGACCACATCTTATTCGCATTTACTAATACTAATATATATAGATAGATAGATAAATAGTCCGATCCACAAACCATTCTGCATTAGCAGAGTCAAAAAGATCATCTTCTAAGGGGTGTAATGGAAACAGACTACCAATAAGATATATGTAACATTCATATATCAATACTCCATATTTTATATCATTTCAAGAGCATTATTTTTGGTAGCTAGCTAGGGTTACATATTTTAGACTTTTCCATCATCTGTTTTATCATTTATGGGAGAGGCACCTCCACCACCATACTTGTCATTGAATTGATCCCTACTCATATAATGATGATTATCCATTGTTCTTGTTCCTCCTCCTCCTTCAGGCTGCTGCTCATAATTGTTCAAACTCCTACTTGTAGCCATGCAACAACTCATCATCATCACCAACATAACAACAACAATAACAGTTCTCATTTTCTCCGCACTTCGTTTGATCGATCTCCTGCATGCCATATGATCAATAGAAATTAAAGAATTTAACTTAAATACAAAGACGATACAAAGAATTTCTACACTATGATCCATATGTTATATATATACTTTCTAGGTAACGAAACTATACATAACATAGACAAGTTATTTGTTTGTTGTTGTAGAAAAAGATCAAAATTATCAATGCATAAACAAGTAAAAAGAATTAACCTAAATAGCCATTCAGCGAATCTCTTAAAAATAGATAGTGGATGTATGTATACTCCATATATATTATGTGTATAATTTATGTATATCAACTAGGAAAAGTAAACAGTGAATCCAATCGACTGAGGAAAATTGGTGAAATTTGAATTTACCTGGATTGAGATTAGTAGAGCTAATTAAGGATGCTTAAGATTAGTTGTGAGGTATAAAGAAAGATTTAAGGGTGTTTATATAGAAAAAATTAAAGGTAGGGTTTCATGTTAATACTGTTTTTTAAAATTAATTTTAAGATACTCCACCAAATGGGGCAATACTAAGTGGGCTTGCCATATTTGCCAATCCACATGATGGAGCTAAAGGAAATAATGCAATATAATATAAAGAATATCACATTACTGATAGTAGATTTTATGATATACCATATAAGTCAACAAATCACAGTTATTTTACTGTAATATTGCCTTATTTTGATGAGGATAAAAATCTCTAAATTGCACTTTTTGTCAATTTGCATAATGTGGTATAATTCCAGTCTAGAAATGTGGAAGTCAGTGTTTGATTAAATTGTGTCCATTAACAGAGTAATTCAAGGCTTTTTTTAAAAAAAATTATTTTTTATTTGGTGTTTAATATTTATATTGAAATTCAATTAAATTTAAATTTACACAGAAAAATCTCAAGTTAAAGATAAAACTTTTCCTAAAAAAGACGATTTTGTATCAGAAAAAATATATGATTAAATACGAAAAAATATTTACTACTCCGTCATAATCATTGTCACCAGCTAATCAAAGAATTGCATCATAGTGATTGGTGAATAATACTAGACTCCTACTCCAATGGCTGCTGACTATTTGAATGACGTTTAGGCAGTCACTTTAGTCCAAAACCAACGAGCGATCTCAATTTTTTTTCATTTCAAAAGATCACTTAATTAAACACACAACTTATTTTACTATAATTATTAAAATTTTCTATCATTTTAAAAAAAATTATATAAATTTTTATTTTACGTGATATATTAGTCAGATACATCACTTTACGTAATGTATCGATCGGCTATTCATTTTACGCGATGTATCATGACCTTAAATTCTCATCTTCATTTCTTTCACTATCTATCTAGCAAATTGTCTACCTCTCTATACGTTCGGATTTCATTAAAATTAAGAAATTATCACAATTTTAAAAAAATAGAGAGGAAATATAATTAGCTCTTAATAGAATGAAATTTATATAAAATCTAATTTTAAAAATAAAAACTGCTCCAAAATTGATAGACTCAATAACATCGAAATATATTATATATAAAGAAAATTTCGACAGACGTCCCTTGATGTATCATTGGTTTCTTAAAGTCTGTAGGGTTTTTTTTTCCCTTAAAAATCATAGAATAACAAATGGAATACGATTTTGTTGCGTTGGGTTTTACAAATTCTTTTAATATAAAAACAGTAGAAATTAGCTCATAAAAATATGATTCGCTCAATTTATTAAAGTTAATTGATTTATCTATTAACTGAGTTCGCTTTGATCGATTCAAAGTCCATATGTTTAAAATTGGATTAAAACCTGACCTAATTGACCCATATACGTTTGTTTTTTTTAATTTATCATATATATCATGTAATAAAGTTGAAAATTACAGATGATCAATAAATTAAGGGCTTATACCCATTTTGACCGCATATGTATTAACTCCGTTTATTTAGACCTGCTCAAATTTAGTCATTTAATACCTCTTTTTTTTTCGTACTTTTAACTCCAATTTAAAGTCTTGGTGTAAAAAAACGATTAATTTCATAATACTATTTAATAATGAAGCCTAATCCTAATTAACTGCTATTATACTCAGAGTCCAAAGTAATGTTGAGCTATAAGTTTGGCAGAAGACAAGTTGCAAAAGAATATAAAAATTAACGAATTAATAATTACCTAGTTAAATGTATAGTTGTACACTAAACTGCTTAAACTAAAGTTAAAATAACCAATGGGTGTATAATTGACCTTTTTTTTAATTTGAAGAATAATATATGACATGATTTGCCTAAGACAAGATCTAGCTATAACAATGTCAAAGCAACTAATTACATTGTATATTATAATTAATGTAATGCAATTAACTCAATTGAAGCCAATAAGGACAAAATCAAATAAGATATATAGTGAAAGAAATGAAGATGAGAATTCAAGGTAATTTTTGTTTTATTTAATTAAAAATAAGGTAAGAGTCGATGTTAAATCCTATCGCTCGCTGAATAGACGTAAATTAAGGGAGTTGTAACTTGTATACGATTAATTAGCCTAGAAATAGCCATATAGGATAAGAAAAATTTGAAAATAAAATTCCAGAAGAAGTCTAGCTTGCTAGAAAAATTAATTAGGCATGTAATCACATTTAAATAGTATGCAAGTAATTAATTGATCAAAACTCTAATTAGAGACTTTTGAAACTATTTTTTTTGGACTAAAACAATCTTGAGTTTATTTTATGAAAAAAAAAAAACTCTGTCGTGAACGTTTAAAACATTTTGTTCTAGAATTTTTCCAGAAAATAATTTCATAATTTTTTCCCATCAAATAATTGTCCAAAAACGCCATTTAAGTAAAAGCTGCAGCAGCCTCTATCAAGTATCAGCAAAGCCTAATCTAATTATGCTTTCGTTGACAAGAGTAATCTCACTTTTAATATGGTTCTTCTTTCAAAAAATATATTGTGGCAGTTTGATTTTTGAAGTTATTTTATATTTATTTATTTCATATAAACATAAAATACAAGTAAATTTTTTTTTTTCAAATAACTGATTTTTTTTTTGGATCAAAATAAGTATAACGTCACATGGAAGTTAGCGATGATAAACATTTGATTCACGATAGACGAAAGGCATAACATAGCAAAATATATAATCTCCATTGTAAAGTTATCTGTGTGTGTTTTAGCAGGTCTACTTTAAACATGAATAATGTATCGTCTATCATATGTCAAAATGGGCAATATGCATGTATATATATTAATCAAGGCTAAATACATAAAGAGATTCTTAATCTTGTTGAGTTTCTTTTCTTAGGTATCTCAACTACGTTTTAATCATTAAATTAACTATAATTTGTTCCTTTAAAACATTGTTGAATGATTTTGATCGGATTTTCTATTGTAAATGCCTTTAGTTGTGTTTGATTTGTAATGATTTTGATCGAAGGAATGAAGACAATCCGCATTAGTCTCATTTATTGTCTAATGTGTTTAAACGACTTAAGTAAAACACAATTATTCTCAAACATTTTCACTATCAATTGTGCTAATATGTTCTTGAACAACATAAGCATCCTCTATCAATACCCCTCACAAATCTGGTTTCACATCAGACAACCGTGTTTGTTTAAACGGAACAAATTATGAGTGGTTTAGTGATTCAATATGAAAATGACGTAGTTGAGGTACCCGAGGAAAAAAAACCGACAAGTTTAGAGATATGTTTATGTATTTGGCCTTAATCCAAATTATAGTAATATTTGGCAAGAGGAGTAACTTTGATGGATAGAATTATCTGATTCCTATTACTAGTTGAACATGATAAATATCTCATGAAATTAATCGTGTGCAAAAGCTTGCCCAAACAGGTCATAAAAAAAATGTTGGCTAGAGAAGATTAGTCAAAATTACATGTTTTTGGTCAGCTCGCCCCCTATATAAGTATTCATGAATTTACTGAGTTACCTCATCAACTAACAAAGCACTTCTAAGTATAGTTGAAGATATAATAATATGAATACGGCAACAATAACCAAAATGTTGTTTGTTTCTTTTGCTTTCCTTTCAAGTGCATTTCTAGCGAGATCCGGAGAAGTTGGTACGTTAAATGTATTTTATTATTAAAAAGATAGAACCCTCTGGTATCTCTTTTTAATTTACAATATTAGCATACTTTAACATACGTTATCTTTTTGTTGATTTGATAGTACATATTAAAGTTGTGATCCTTTTGGGGGATTGATGTAGATGATGAGAGTGAGTTTAGTTACGACGAAAACGCGGAGAATGGACCAGCTAACTGGAGCAATATTCATCCAAATTGGATCAAATGCAAAACTGGAAAAATGCAGTCTCCAATTGATTTTGCAAACAATAAGATTGAGAATGTTTCGAATTTAGGAATACTTCAAAAATTATACAAACCATCAAATGCCACTCTCTTGAACAGAGGCCATGATATAATGGTACGTACGTTTAAATTTAAAAAAGAATCGACTTTAATCATGAATTATAAATTGAAATTATTTTGTAATAAGTGAATTATTAATTAATAAATAATGTAGTTGAGATGGGATGATGGAGGATTTTTGAAGATAAATGGAACTCAATATCGACTTAAACAAGTTCATTGGCATACACCTTCTGAACATACTATCAATGGAAAAAGGTATATTTCATAAAGTATATATATATATATATATATACACTGATGGCGTAAATAATTTTTATTTAGAATTATCTGTATATATCAAATGTAGGTTCGATATGGAAGGTCATTTGGTACATGAAACGAATGATGGGAAGAATATAGCTGTCATTGGAATCCTTTACGAGATTGGATTATTTCCTGATCTCTTCCTAACTATGGTAAACACAAATTCATTTGTTACTTTATCAGTATAATTTAATTGATTTTAAATTTTTGATATTATTATTTTTACCTGTAATTATCACAGATAGAGAAGGATTTAGAAGCTCTTAGACTTGCAGATCAAAAAGCCATTGGAATTAATCATCCAAATCTAATAAAAATAGATGAAAAAAGATATTACAGGTATATGGGCTCCTTAACTGTACCGCCTTGCACTGAAAATGTTATTTGGACTATTGACGGAAAGGTAAATTAAACCTGACTTATTTATTATTATCACAATTTAATATAATTACTTACTTACATTAAATTATGTTATTTAAAGAAAAATATTATTTCACAGACTAAAACTGTAACCAGACGACAAATTCAACTGCTCCGAGATGTTGTTCATGATGTGAGTTGCTAACACAAAATTTTAATTATATTTCGAAAACCTGTTTGATTATATGTTTGTATTTATTTTTCATTTCGAATTTAATATAAAATACTATTTTAAATTAAATATTACTCAATTTATATGTCCAAGCGTATAATAAAGTTATCATGATAGATTTTTTAACCCCTAAAAAATATCTCTCTTATATATAAAATAAAAAGCTTTTATTATCAATAGCTTTTGTTCACAATTTGTGTGATTTTGTGACTCAAAAAAAGGGTGTTTCTTCAATTGAAAACTCAAGAATTTTACCAATTGCAATATTTTAAAAACAAAAATCTACTTATAAATTATAACTTAAAAGATGATATGTTCTTAATTTTTTTTTCTCCTCAATTTTATCTCAGGGATTTGAATACAATGCCAGGCCAATTCAACAATTAAATGGACGTACTATCAAATTCAACAAACCTTGGCTTTTTGCTTAATTTAGGGAGTGTTTAATAACCTTCATCTATTATTAATAAATCGGTAGGGATCTTGTCAAATCCTCCTTTATTAGTAGTAAGTTTATTTTAAGAAAATAAATAAAGCTGTTATATTGTCTATTGTACTATTGGTACACGATGATAATAACGGTGTTTAGAACTAGGAATAAACATGATTTTATGTTACAAATAATTGTATCATAAGTATCTCATTGTATCAATTGTATCAGTAATAAGGAGTAATATGTTGTGTGTATGTTATGTACGTGTGTAGGCAAGTTAATTTGTTGGTGCGTCATTGTGAAATTAATTAGCAAAATACATCAACAACTTTGGAAAAAATTAGAAAAATATTTATCAACCTTTTTTTAAGCAATGTTATTAGATTCCTTCAATAGACTTAATTTAACAAAAATATGGAATGGATGCAAAAGAAATCATTTATTAGAATTCCTTTAATAGAGTTTAATTTTAACAAAATATGGATGGATGCAAAAAACCAGAACCATTTATTAGAATTCCTTTAATAGACTTAATTTTACAAAAAATATGGAATGGATGCAAAAGACCAGAATCATTTATTAGAATTCCTTTAATAAACTTAAAATCATGCCTTTATCCATTATCATAACTAAATTGTTTAATTTTTGAATTTCAAATAGTATCACATAAATTAAAATAAAAAATTGTTTAATTTTTAAATTTTAAACAGTACCACATAAATTGAGACAGAAAAGGCAATATTTCATCACTTATATCCAAAATGGGAAATATACATTCATGTGAGATATAAAAGGAGAATTCATTATCATCAATTCAATAATATTCCAATTTTCAACCAACAATTAAAAACAGAGAAGATCAGTAAAAAAAACTTATCTTTTATCAGCTTCATATTACGTTACCTCCCCCCCCCCCCCAAAAAAAAATAAGGATCTATAAATTTACTAAGTTTCCTCATCAACTCACAAAATATTTCAACAATTGAAAATATAATAGAATATGGCAAAAATAATCAAAATCTTGTTCTTTTCTTTTCTTTTCCTTTCAAGTGCATTTCTCACAATATCTCTAGAAGTTGGTACGTTAAACTTATTAATTAAACAAATTTTAGCTTTAGTAGTGTAATTTTTATTTTCTTTACTGTTAGTGTACATAATTATAAGTTTCTTAATAATATCTGAATAATTGTAGATCAAATGAATGATGAGTTTAGTTACGATCAAAACGCAAAGAATGGACCATCTAAATGGGGGGAAATCTCGAGTTACTGCAATGGAAATTTACAGTCTCCAATTGATTTTGATAACAAAGTGGTTGAAGTTGTATCAAATTTAGGAATTCTTCAAAAATACTACAAACCATCCAATGCCACTCTTGTGAATAGAGGACATAATATCATGGTACGTAAGCAAATTGTATCATTATAGTATATAGTAATATATATTGTGGACAAATATATTCACTCATATTGAAATAAATTTTTGTGTTATAATTTATATTTTCTAAATATTTACAAAATGCAGTTGAGATGGGATGGTGATTCAGGATACTTGAAGATAAATGAAACTCAATATCAACTTCAACAAATTCATTGGCATACACCTTCCGAACATAGTATCAATGGGAAAAGGTATGTTATATTATATATACTTATTGCGATCAAAGATAGAGTCGTGATTTAAAATTTATGAGATTCAGGATTTTACTCTTTTTAAGTTATTAAATGCTAAATTTACTTGATTCATAGTATGAGGATTAAATTAACTAATGTTCGATTTTAGACATAGACTCATTAATTTTGAAAGAAAACTGATATATTTAGAAACTACACAAAATTAAAGAAAAAAATATAAATCATAATAATTAACAATTTTAATTATTTGAAAACAAGAATGAAGTTGTTCGATATATTAAAAATAAATGAACGTACGCAAAGAGAAAAAATGTCATTGTTTACACACACATCTACATAATCTCAAGTCTCAACCAAGTTTTTTTTTTTTGTGAATAAATATAATTCAGGTATGATATGGAGGCTCATTTGGTACATATGAGCAGTGATAGAAAAACTGCTGTCATTGGAATCCTCTACGAAATTGGATCATTGCCTGATGATCTCCTAACCATAGTAAATATACAATTATATTTTATTTTATAAAATCAATATAATTTAATCGATCGATTTCATTATATTTTTCAGCTTCTTAATATTGTTTGCTTATCTAATTGCAGCTAGAAGGTGATTTAAAAGCTGTTGCTGATAAAAGAGGTGCAGAAAAAGGCATGGGAATAATTGATCCAAATATAATAAAATTGGACGACAATATATATTATAGATATATTGGCTCCCTAACTACTCCACCTTGCACTGAAGGTCTTGTTTGGACTATTGATGGAAAGGTAATTAAATTTGCCTAAATTCATTATTATGATGAAAATTATAAGTAATTAAGTATTCATATTGTAAAATTTATTTAAATTATGTGATTTTTATTGGTTTTTTTTTCAATTTTCTAGGTTAATAGTGTAACGGCAAGACAAATAAAACTGCTCCAAGATGCTGCTGTTAACGTGAGTTACTACCCCAAAATTATTTATTTATTTCTTAGCAAAATTTTGTTTCTATATTTTTTCAAGCGTAATCCATGCCAAAACATAGTTTTATTTTTTCCGATACTATTTTTCAATTTACCTTCAAAATGCTATTTATTTAATCATATATATTATTCAATTGAAGTCCAAGCGCCTATTAAATTTTCTTTTTACTATTAAAATTTGTGCAACTACAAAAAAGTGGTTCATCAAGTTTTTTTTTAAAGAATCTACTTATACTTAACGTCTTTCCATTCAAAATAAGTAAATTTTTAGCATATATTTTTTCTTCGTTTAAAATGAAATTATTTTTTTAATCCAAGAGGAATTTTATAGTTTGATTTAATTTTCTTAAAAATATGTTATACCTCAATAATTTACTTATTTTGGACGAAAGAAATTATATAACCTACTTTTTTATTTTTATTTTCATGTTTATCTCAGGGATTTGAATTCAATGCCAGACCAGTTCAGCTATTAAACGGACGTTCTATCAAATTTAACAAACCTAATTAGTTTCATTGGTTGACTATATGAACTTTGACGAAGATTCGGTAGGAGAAAAAATGTATTAGTTGCCTTGAATTTGTGTTGTAACTAGTGAAACTATTCGCGCTTCGCGCGATTATATGAAATATTTATAAGATAATAATATGAAATATTTATAAGATAATAATATGAAATATATAATATTTGCGTTAGTATTGAATATATAGATAATATTTATATTTCTT